TATTGTTGATGCAATCTACAACTATCCCTCAGGCCCATATAAAATCATCCAGTTCACTTCACATTTTAACCATTCATATGTGGGACCGATTGTGCCACCATACATTCACCTACCCATAGATACAGAAAACAGAAGGAGGTATATTTATTTTAACAAATCTCTATAATTACTTGAATAAGAATCTTTTAGAAACCATAATGCTATTAAAGCGGAGTGAGCTAGAAAGCAGCCATTTATAAAATAGGATTTATAGCATTTCCCCAATTGATGTGTGCTATATTTGGTCTGTAGGTATACTAGTCTTTGGATTTCAGAACTGGTCTAACTTCATCCTAACTCCAAATATTTGTCATGATCATCTGAAGTTAATCAAAACTCATACAAGTTTTAATTTTTACATGATCATTTCTGGAGGATTGCCTTTTCTGCCAGGAAAATCATTGACAAACAGATTTAACTCAACACTTTTTTAAAAATGACCTATAACAAGTGAATTTTGGAGCCCTATAACATAAGCAACACTATTTTTTTTCATATTTTGCCTGCTTTTTTGTCTGAACACACCAACTTCAAATAACATCATCAAAAAATGCCCCAAGATAAAATATTTTTTTTTTTTTTTTCTCAAATATCAAAATAATTTTAATCTAGAAAATGTAAGAAAATTTATGGGAAAATACTTAAAACATACTCCATTTCTTTCATACATTAAATTGATCATTACTCAATTTTGGCACCATATGCGAAGTACCAAATATGAGTTTTTAACATAATTTTCCTTGAGTCTATCAGAAAATAGGATCTAGACCTTTATTCCTATGTTTTTTGGAAGCTAAATCCATTTTTGAATACATTGTCGATAAATCAAAATGGATTAAATGCAAAATTTTGGTTCTTCATTGCAGGCAGGTCAAGGTTTCTTGGCTCAAAACCATACTTTTTAATTAAAAATGTAAAATTTTAGTTTTAATCTTCCTCTTAAGTACAAATAACATTAATACTGTTCCATAATTGAATCGAGAATCAGTTTTCTTTGCATGATGGCTCTCCACAATTTCTTGTCTTTCGCAGGCTCTTAAATTGTCTTTTTGTTATTTCTCCTAAACTTTGTTCTGCCATTCATCTATTCAAGCTTACTCAGTATGTTATGCATTGTTTTCTTTTGTCCCTCTTGCCTTCAGACCTGTGAGTATCAGATTTTCCAAACCCTTCTTTCCTCATTATGTGCCCTAGAAATTTCTACTGTCTCTTCCTGATGTTAAGTTTCCTTTTTGCTTCCATTTCCTATAAAACTTTGTTGTTGCTCATATATTCTGACCATCATATCCTCATCATCCTTCTGTAGAACCACATTTCTGTTACTTCAAGTCTCTTCTTCATCTTTGAGGAGATTGTCCAGCATTCGTTGCCATATAGAACCAATATCTCATACTCTTTGGTTTCTTAAATATTCAAGGGACTCAAAAATGACAAATGTCTGCTTGACTCTTTTGCACAAACCCACTGTGATTTGATTAAGTAAACACAAATTAAGTAATAAATCAACCAAAGAGAGGGGGTGGGGGAGAACCAAATTAATAAAATGCTACCTGTGCACAATAAAAGTAATATTTTGTCTATGAAATGTAAATGTATCAATTATGGGATATATATGTAATATAAAAACAAAAATATAAATTCTGAAGAATTCTTTTCTCAAATAACTAAAACGGATACAAAAACCTCTACGCAGCAAAACAAAAATGCAATTATTCATTCTGTGTGGTTCATTATAAAATTTCATATCATTATTACATAAACGTGGATATCTGGATAACAATGTTTATCAGCATGGAAAATCAGTGAGCCAAGTTCAAATTCTGAAGTAGTCTGTTGCATTCACTTTTGCACAAATCCACCGGTGGCTGGGTGGGTGTTGGTAAGCATAAATACCTATCTTCTCTTTATTTCGCTCACTGGGGTAGACTGTTCTAGTTCCACGTGCCATGCTTGATGGATGTCAGTTATCAGTTATCTCCTGTTAATTTCCCTCTGAAAGTTCTCCACTGCCTTAACCAGGTATTGGACTCACACTCTTTGGGTCCTGTCACGGACACACGGCACAGTGGATAAAGGTGTTAATTAGATCCAGTGACAGGACCCAAAGAGTGGTTGGTATGTCAAACTGAACCTTTTTTGTAAAATAAAGGGTTCAGTTCAACATTCAAGCCACCTGAAGAAGGTCGGAGCATACAATGGCTGAAACGTTGTAATAAATATGGTGACAAAGATGAGGACAATAGTCCGAATAATGTAAGTTGCACCTAGATGGAAAATTATATGCACACGGTTCCCTCAGAATCTAGAGATGATTAGGGACAATGGAAGCCCTTGTTTAATAAAGTTCTTCATGTCAGTAACAATCCCTAATTGATCACTGAATCTGAAAGAATTCAAGACCACAATAATTCTCCATGCTAGGAACTCCCTCACATTGGAAGATGTCATACAGGGTCTCACAATCCCCTCAGGGCTTTCCCCATCTTTCTTGTGAATGATTCCAGTGAGGTGCAAATTACAAATACAACTCCACAACTTTAACCTGACACTCTTTCTCCAATAACGAAACTGTAGAATGACTGGTGGGAACCCGGTCTGTTAAGCAGCATTTTTTTATTTTAGAAATTGTTTTTCAAAGTGGCATCAACACTTTCACCAGTAGATGGTGAACCTATTTTGGCTAATTCATTGAAGCAGTCACAAATATGCTGCTTGTAGTCCATAGCAGTCCCTCCAGGTAGACATTCCAGTAACACAAGAGGAGAGGATGATGGGGCTGTTAATACCACACAGTTCACATGGTTTCCATCTTGTGTTGTTGAATCGAAAAATCTAAATGCTGTTTTCTGCACTTTGCACTGCAGTGAATGTCTTCACATTCTGCCAAGCTCCCCCACCATTCTGTAAACTGTGGTAGAACTTTTTTGTAAACAGTCAGCTTCCAGTGACAAGGTTCCCCAAATATTTTTCACAACTTGTGGAATACAAGCAGGAACTCCAGCTAAAATACTGTCGTAATGGAGTTTCCTGCTCAAGAAATGATTGAAAGTATTTTTTGTAGTTCTTTCATTTAATGATGTTATTTTTTGAAAACCAGGGAAGATGAACAAAGTTTTAGGCAGATTTGATAAAATTTTGTTTTTAATGAAAGTTTGCAACAGACAGGGTTGTATTTTTTTTTTGGCGGTTGAAGATGCAACAGATTTAGTAGCAACAGAATGGGTCGCCTGTTTTTTTTTTTTCAAAAAGTACCCTGAATTCCACTGTTTATAGTGGCACCAAATACAGATTCAACAAAATGATATTCTTTTCTGAAACATTTTGAAAAATATCAAAATTGGCTGTCAGTTGGGACAATGCTGTATTGGCTTAAAATATCTTCCGTTGTTCCCATTTGAAAATTTAAAAATTAGGATAAAGATAAGTAAGCAAGAAAATGAACGTATGTGAAAGTATGTGACAATTATTTGATTTTTGCAAGAATTTCCAAATTAATGCGTCTGTCACTGTAAAAAAAGAGGCTAAAATTGGCTGTTTTATTTTATAGTCCATTGGCTGATGTAAGAAAAATAAGATTTTTAATCACAATTTTAAATGTTCTAAAAAGGATAAAAAAAATATTAAAATAATAATAATAAAAAAACAACTTTAGTCTTTCCTCTTAATTATAACGTAAAGATTTTGATGATAAAACTGGGTTTTTTTATCTTTTAGTATAAGCACCAAAAGCCCCCGGTAATGAGAATGTACCATTGTGGGTATGAAATTGCCTAAAACATTGCACTCGATTACTGTTTAGAATTTATGGACAATGTAAGTTTGACTTCTTTCTCATTGCCTAGACAGAAAGACCACCATTACTGGCTTTGTTTACATACGTTTGCCTTTATAGCTTCACTTGTGTTGAAAAAAGTTTAAAATGAATGTGCAAAATTTTAAAAGTACCCTAACAGAAAAAAAATGTCATGATTCCAAATATATTAGTAAAAATGAAAGGATAAAAAAATGAAATTCACTTTTTTCCTCAACAATGTTTTTCTTCTTAATTGTGTTGTTGGAGTCCTTCTACTCAGTTTTTTGTTGAATGTTAAAATTTGAAATGTCGGGATTCGATACAATGACAAAATATCATTACGGGGTCGCTTGTAATTTGGCCGTCTAGAATAATCACATGATTTTCATTGAAGGGATAAAATTCAGTAGAAAAGACAACACAGTTGCAAGAAATAAACATTAATTTAATATAACGACAAGAATACAAGCAGCTGATGATAGATTGAAATTTGGAAAGTAATGTCTTTTTGTTTAGATTAATAAAGTTCTGAAATAAAATATAAATTGTCTTTGTGTACTTATGTGAGAAACAAAAATGTTATATGTGTGTTTGTATGAAAAAGTCAACACGTGTGTGCGTGATTCATAGCAAAACGGATACAAGTGATAGTTAGAAATTGTTTCTTACTGTTGGTGGTGTTGCCATAGTCTGAACTTTGTCAACGTTGTCGCTTTTAGCATGGGGTCATGAAGATCATAAACGAGAGGGTTGTGGAACTTGGTGACACCTGTGCGTATCCTGTTTGGGGCCGGATTTCGTATGTTTTTATACACTTTTTCATAACAAAACCAGCTCCAGAATTAAATTATTTATTTCTTCCAAATTGGCCCTAAAATGTCATTTGACTATATTTCGGTATCTACCTAAAAATCATGATAAAACAACAATCTTTTTCCCCACCCCCACCCCTCTTGATGCAAGAGAAACAAGATTTTAGCCAAAAGAATGTGCTGGAAAAGGATTAAAAATTGTAATAAAATAATTAAAAAAATACTTTGGTCTTTCATCTTTCTTACTTAATAATAATAACATAAACAATTTGATTTGATAAAATTTTGTTTTTATGAAGTTTGGGGCTTTTTTTTTTTTTTTTTCATGCCTTTTTTTTTTTTTTTTTTTTTTTCAGCGCATTAGTGGAAATAAGATTCAACAAAATGTTCCATTCTCTCTCTCTCTCCCCCTCTTTTACAAGTTTTAGTCATTTTCTTTGCACTAAAATCAAGTGCGTTTTATTCATGAAAATATTTTTTCTGGAATTTCTCTGCTTTTTTTTAACTGCGTCTTATACTCCTTACCTTAGCAATCTATATAGAAAGGATTAAGTGGAATTTGTTGGCATACCATTATGATTCATTAAAAAAAAAATTGCAAAATGATTGGACACTTTTTAGAGCACCTTATTAAGATTCATTTTAATTGAGATCTATATATAAAGTTGTATGTGTTGTGTAACACTTTTTACAGAACACTCAGAACCTAAACAGATATGTTGCAGATTTGAATCAACCCACAACAAAGAAAAAGTGAGAAAGGTTTTTAAATGTAAAATTTTTGTGTTTTACAACTAAATCTTTCTCAGTGTGTATGATTGTTAAAGTTCCTTGCTTGTAGTTATTTTTTAGCATTCTGCTACTACTTGCTTTCAACTGCAAATTTTGTGCAGAAAGTGGATCACAGAGCCTTGAATATTTCTCTGACTCCTGATTGGTCAATTAATGATAATATCATGCTTTCATCTACATCCACAGAGTCAAAATTAATTTACCGCCAAAATCTATGTGTTTCGAGCCTATCACATGACATAGAACATTATAAATATTTGGACACATTTTTAACTCCTCCTCTTTTGCCTTCTCTCACACACAAGATGTGGCGTAAGAGAGATCACATCTGTCATTTGTGAGAAGACACTATGACACACGTACGTATGTACATTGCACATCTCTGAACTCATCTCATTCACTACTTCAACTACAAGAACACACAAACTATTCAACTTCTAACAGTGAGCTTTGCGGTATCAAACAGTTCACCAAACAAATTCATGCCGTTCAAATTTTTGAAGTTTCTAAGTTAGATTTCCTAACATAATCCCAAACATCGAATTCAATCACTCACCAACGAACTACACTTCAATCTATGATTTTTATCGAGGCAGCAAGAATTCTACTCAAAGAACATATAGTTTGCCAAAAAAACATTTTATTCAAAAAGCAACTTTGAACATTTCTTTCATTGAAACTGAACTTTATTTCATATTTTCTGTGAGTTCAGATAAAAATATTTTCTCTTAAAAGGCTTTAAGAATTTCAAGTTAAAGGGGAAATAACTCCTATATTATTAATTATAAACGCTACATATTAGCATATACTTTGTAACAATTTGCAATTCAATTTAAATTACCTGAGTAAATTCATCCTTCAGTTTTGTATATTGTTGATATAAAAATATTTTGTTATTTCTAGAAAACATAGTTGTTTTATATTTTGGATTTGATAGCCTTGTGCCATACCCAAAGTTAAATGTTTGTGGAGAAGTTTATTTTCATGCAGCCAGCACAAATAATACCTTCTGATATATAAATATTTTTCCTAATAACCTACATCTCCGCAACAGTTTCTTTAGATGGAATGAAATGTGTGAGAAAAAGAGGCCATGAAAAAGTGAGAAGAAAAGTGTAAGTGCTACGTAGCTTGGTGAGGAAGATGGGTGAATGACTAAAAAGGAATTTCTTTGAAGTCGCCGTTGATGTGAACTGCTGTCGTATCTCCTTACTTGTTTTGTCCATCTAGAGATTTTACTTAAATGCTTTTCAAAGATATTACAAAGCATTTTTTTTTTTTTTTATTGTTGGCGGTAATACAACCCATTGGCTGGAAAATGTTTAATATTCATTGTCAAAGGACTAATTTATTAACAGGAGGGATGTGCGAATCCTCCGACTCAGTCAATGACAAAAAAAGTATAGTTTTTCTATTTTGGTGTTTATTTCCGTCTTCGTTCTACAGATGTATTGGAGAGTGATATTTAGATTCTAGGTGGAAGTGCCAATTCATACGTAAATAAATTATATATAAATGAAACAAAATGAAATTTTTTTTTTTTTTTTAATGACAACACGTTTTGACTTTGACAAGTAGGTGTCTTCAGATTAGAATGAATGACAAAATCTGACTTGGAGACGCCTACTTTACTCCCTAACGAAGTTGAAACGCGTTGTCATTAATAATAATAATAAAAAACTTTTCCCTTTTGTCACATTTCTCGACTTTTGTTCCGATTCTAAATCTTACCTAACACTTATATAGTCGTACGTATTTCAAGAAAACAGGTGCAAGGGAGGTAATCACTTAAACACTAATTACTTCCCTTACATTACAAATTTTGTTTATTAATTTATATATTCAATAAAATTAACCATTATTAATTTAATTGTCCTCTCGTATATCGGCGGGCATAATCTTAATGATGTAAGATACATGGATGACAGTGTTGATTAGAGACTTAGAAGGAATGCTGTAAAAACTCCTAGACAAGACAGCAAAAGAAAAAGAGAAGAAAGGGTTTTATAGTTGTCAGCAAGATAGTAGACATCCCAATATGTGTGCCACAAATCAGGAATATCAGAATCAAACAGGTACAAAAATGTAGGCAAAATAGTCACAGATAATGGAAAATGCAGCACAGAAGGCACATTGGAATAACAAAAGGTGCCTTCCAGAAAATAAGCAATGTATTAAAAGATTGGAAAATGTTGTTAGATACAAAGAAAAGAGTGCTGAACTGCTACATTATATCTATCATCTTATATAACAGTTATTAATGAAGAGAAGACTTGAGGCAACAGAGATTTGGTTCTACAGAAGGATGCTGAGAATACCATGGACTAAGCATGTGAGTAATGAGAAAGTTCTTAAGAAAAGGGAAATCAAAAGGACACATAGAATCGGAAAGGGACGATTGAAATTTTTAAAACCCGTAATGAGGAGAGAGGGCTTAGAGAATTTGACACTGACAGGACATACTGAAAGCAGATGGAAACAGCATGTAGCTAACTTAATACGTTTGTGCAAAAGAATCGTCAAGCAGGTGACAAAGAGGGAGGGGAAAGAATCAAACAATGCTTAGAGCTACTCGTGTGAGAAAGTTGTGGAAAGCCATGATCGCTCACATCCTGAAGAAGTTGACATGTAAAATCAAGTAATTAATGCTAAATTCATGAAAATGTCATTAATTTGTATGTAACTAATACATTTTAGCTTTATATAATTTTATTATAACTACTTTTCATTTATGGTAAAAAAAAATGTCAATATTTAAGTAATTTTGTCATTGCATTATTTATATTTTCTCTATTGTTACATGCAAGAAAGAATTGTGCTTCAAATTATTATAAGTAGAAATATCCAAAGAAGGTTAACATGACCTATTCAATTATAAAATGATAGCTTTATTTAAGTGATTGGTTGTATTTTCTTCATAAGTCATCTAGGATTTTTACCTATACAAGTAGTTCTATTGTCATACATGTAAATAAGAATTTGATTTTGAAATCATTAAAAGTGAAAATATCCAAAGAAAATTAACATGGTTCATCGGTCATAATAATAATAGCAACATTTTAGTAATTTTTCAACTGTATTGTCTATAATTTCTATAATATATATATATATATATATATATATATATATATATATATATTATATATAAATATATAATATATAAATATATATAAAATATAAATATATAATTATATTAATAATATTATTGATTTATATTAATAAATTGATAATATTAATAATTTATATGAATAAATTAATAATATTAATTATTAAATATTAATAGTAATTATATTTATATTTAATTAATAATGCCATAAAAAATATATATTTTCTACAATTCTATTAGAAAGAATTCTGCTTTCAGAAGCATTAAAAGAAGAGTAATCAAAAAGATAGTAGATAATGATTAACATTGCATTTAAATTTTTGAAGATTAAAGTTGGCTGGAAAGCATAAAGCTGGCAGGAGAGTTCCACAAGCAAAAAGTGTGACATGTTATCACAGTAACGGTATGTCTCATTAGCAAGTAGGGGTGATCAGGTTGTGTGACCAATAAATATATAAAATCATTGGTTTTATATTATATAACTGACGACTGAGTTTTGTGATGTGATTAAAGTTTGCAATTATACTTTATTTACAGTTGTTTTTTTAAAGCATTGTTTAATTAATATCAAAGGAAAAAAATGTTGGTAATTTAAATAGTAATGTCAAATTCAGTAGACAATCAAATGACCAAGAAACTCTTTTCTGTTTTTAACTGGGAGAAAACCTGCTTTGACCCAACATCAAAAAACATACAATATTTATATTGACTACATCTGACAATTTCCTCAGATGCTTCAGATAAAAGATTTGTGAGGATGTACAAGTGAATCTTGAATCTTTTGTATTTAACTTTGTATTTGATTTTATTCCAATATTTGATTTCATTAGATATGTGACCCTTACATTCTCACGTTCAATGTATAAGAGACTGCTCAACTCCTCTCTGGTGTAGTTGTTTTTATAACCATCTGTCCAACAGTTCTTCTCACACATACACATATCAGGTGCAGCTTTACCCACAGATGTTCACCTGATACATGACAACACGTAAATTGTGGATCTCTACCCCCACTAACCAGCTTCTATGGTTTGGTGTGAAATGGAGTGCAAAGCCTATTCAAATGTAATACTACACATTGTCAAAAATACAGTTTAAAGATAACTCCAAGGGTCATACATTGTAAATAAGATTGTTTTGTAATGCTACCTTCTATAAAATGTTGTCTGGACATTTTCATCAGACGAATGAAAACCCTGATCTGAATAATTCAGAACATTACAGAAATGTTAAAACTATTTTTTGAATTTAAAATTAACAAGTTCAAGGTTTATGATTGTCTGTGACTTAGAGGAGTAGATAGGTTCACTTTTTGCCCAGTTCATAAACCTTCCATCTTTTGGACAGGAGTAGAGGTTTATCCTTTGTTTCTAGCTCCTTCTAAAGTTTACTTCAACTCTCTACTGCTAACGTCTCTGCCTGAACTCTGAAATTTTATTTACTAATTATTTATTTATTTATTTTTCTCCTCAATAAGAGTAGATAGATTCACCTATTATCCAGTTTATACTCTTTCCTAGTCTTTTGACCAGGAGTAGAGATTTATAGAATTGGTTCCTGGAAATTTGGGATGCCATTATTGGTTTTATCCACCCTCTTTTATTTTGTGGTACCCTGCCTGGCATATGTACATATATCTCATTGTTACAAAGAAAACAGTTACAAAATTTAGTGAATAAAAAGATTTATACAAATAACTCAATTTTTTTATTTAATCAGTATCACGCCATGCAAGGCAATAAAGCCACTAAGCCACAAGGGGTTATCAGGTGTGGAAGAATTAGGAATAGAAACATTAATAATGAGCAGGATAGATAAATGAGTAATCAGGAGGGCAGTAGATAGCAGTTAACATTGCATTTAAACTTTTGCAGAAATGTTGATTGGAAAACATGGAGGTGGAAAGGAGTTCCACAAGAAAGAAGTGTGTTTGTTTGTTTAAAACTTAACGACCCATCGATCAGCAAGAGATCATTTAAGGTCAAACAGTTGTTATTTTTGTTTTTTGTTTTTCTTTAAATGAGGTTGAAACGCTTTCAAAAAACTTTCACTTTCCTTTCATTCTTTTTCGATGTTGTCTCACTTTTTGTTTTTAAAAATTCACTGTTTTCAGAGGTGCGTTCTTTGAAAATTTCTCACTTTTTTCCGACAAGTATCAAAAGGTTTCCCTTTTCATCATCAGACACCAAATTGGAATTATATTTTATTATATAGTCCAACTTTCCTAAGAAATGTCAAGATCAAATTGGGGTTTGATTTTTTCGAAAAGTTCTTTCAAATTGTTAGCGTTGTAAAATAGTTTTCGAATATGTGCCATGTCACCAATCAATCAGCTAGGAAGTGCTTCACGGTATAAACCTCCTGGCATGCTATGCATTCAGGAGGGACTTCATCTTTAGTAGGAAGGAGTGAGTTATGCGAGTGTGACCTATGCGAATACAGGATAAAACCACCACTTCTTTGCGTGATTTTCTGTGTTCAGTTAGTTGTTTCTTTAGAGAGGGTTTGATTTGAAATAATTTGTTGTTTTGACAGCTGTTCCAAGCATCTTGCCATTTCTTCAAAATAAAGTCATTTATTAGGGGTTTATAGTCAGTGTATGGAACCTTTATGTTACTTGTGTTAAGTTTCAGAGAGTTTTTTGCAGCCACATCAGCTTTTTCATTTCCATGAAAACCAGAGTGGCTGGGAATCCAACAGAAAATGATAGTTTTATTTTGTAAGATCGCATGTATTCTATATAGGAGTTTGATGAGCAAAGGATTCAGAAAGAAGTGTGAGAAAAGAAACTGTTAGCATAGAACTTACAGCTACATCTAGCAAACTCCATTTTAAATTGATGAGATTTTGATGTTAGTCTAGTACTATGTTTAAATTCAAAAAGTCTTAAGTACCATAGTGAAGAGATCATCTGAACAGTTACCTGGAAAGTCTTTATAGAAAAGGCAAAGTGAGGCAACCTTACAGTGGTGGAAAAGTGACTGAAGCTGAGCCACCAGATCAGGACCAATAATATTGCTGATTCTTCTTTGGATCTTATCAAGGAGCTCAAGGTAAATAGCAGGCGCACTGGACCATATGTGGCAGCAATATTCAAAGAATGGTAGACTTATAGATATGTAAGATAGATTCTGGAGAGAAAATCATCTCACATGACACAGTGAACCAACTTTCTCAGCAGTTAACCTAGCAATGGATTCAATATAGTCTTTCCACTTCATGTCAGCTGAGAACGTTAGCCCAAGGCGGCACAATGAGTAACTTTCCTGGAGGTTAGCATTAGCCATGTTGATGGAAGGCAGAGGTGAGAACTCTCAGATGATTAATGGAGAGAAGTTTAGTTTTTGAGGTGAAAAATCTTTATTGCTCACAAAATGGAGAAATAATGCAAAATAAAACTAATCCCAGTAGATTTTATGCAGAAAAAGAAAATCTCAAATAATTATTCAATTTTATCCCTTAAGGCTGTAAACACTCAAGCATGCCTACAAATTTCATGTGATTACAGGCCAGAGCACCTGAATGTGCTCACAATTGGATTTCACTCTTTCTCAATACCCAATGTTAACATCTGTCACATGATCACCTAGGGATCCAAGAATTGTAAAAGTTGTAGTTATTGCAATATAGATAATGGTTTATAAGTATTGAAATATACTAGCAGCCATTCCCAGCTGGTTGATCAGAACAAGTGTTCAATTAGAATGGAGCAAAAATGGCATCATGTTTAGATGTAACAAAGTCTATCTTCTTCAATTAATTTAAAGTACTTTCATTAAAAATCATTTTGAATTAATGCAGTTACTGATATAACAGAAGTAGTCTGTATTTATTCAATCAAAGTTAGCCAACGACATGAATGGATAAAACAGACAACATGAAGACTCATTTTAGACCACAATTATTTTGGATTTTTTGACATTCAATTTGTCAGTGTGCTACCAGGGATATAAAAGAGGATACATTTATAAAGCAATTGTTAAGTTTGATGAAAATTGGTTGAAAGATCAACAAAAAATATGAAAGAAACCTGTAAAACTCACCATTTTTCGCTATTTACACGGGTTTTCACTATATGGGTGGACTCAATTAACAAGTTAAATGACTGTTAAACAATCAACTTATTGAGTGAAGTCTGTATTAGATTGCTTGAAAATTGATGGAGTCTTTAGTTCAAAATTTGTGTTGAAATCGATTTTTCATTTTTCACTAAACACAGTGGTGTAGGAATAAAAATGAGGAAAAATGATGAATTTATCAATTTTTGATCGGCTTTATTGATTATTGGTTTTTAAAAATTATCGATTTTTTACACTAAGAACCTATCTCTTACATAGTACAATGTATGTGTCAAGTTTGGTCAACATCGGTTGAATGGATCTTGAGGGAAAAGGTATCACACATACAGCCTCTGTTTTATATAGAGAGATAAATGTATGCTAGCTATTTTGATGCTAACCAATTCTAAATGGAATGCTCAACTGATGCAGTTTTTTGGAAGAAGTAAAGTAGAACTTCTGCATCTTTTACTCTGGTCAGGAATTTTTTCAGATAAATAAAAAAAAAACAGGCAATTTGTGTAATGTTGACAAAAAAGGTTTTCATTAATGTGACAAATTTATAACATCTGTAAATAAATTTATGAATTACATTTTTTTATTTTTAAATAAAGATTTCAGATTAGGGAATCTCTTGTCATGCAATCTCTACATTTGCTGAAACACAACAAAAGTGATTTTTAACAATTTATTTGTTCATGACAAGCAATTGTCATGTTTTCCTCATAATGGTCAATCTTCAGAAGTTATTTTGAAAATTACAAATTAAAAAATTAGAATTAATTAAATACAATTAATTAAAATTTTACAATTTGTATGATTTTTTTTTTTCATCTTTCTTTCAGGAAACGGATGAGTTTTCGTTGGAGTAAGGAAAAGTACGAGCTTTTAACTGAAAGAGAAAAGACTTTACTAGCTGTAAGTAAATTTATTAATTTCTCTAATTTGGTATTTATTTTCAACAGAAGGTGCTGAAATGTCTTTGTCCTGCTCCATTTCCCCAAATCTTACCAAGTAGCAGAATTTTCTTTTTTTGAAATCCCTTCTTGGTTGGGCTGAGAACTTTTCAGTACCCCATCATAAATTACTTGGGGTCATAATATTCCTCTCAGCTCTACAAGTGTTGAATTTGATTAAAATGAAATTATAAATTAAATGATCATTAAATGATTAAATTTCCATCTATGTCAGAATGTAAACTTGCAAGACATTTCTTTTTTTTTTTTGTTTTTTAAGAATTTCTGTCATATACATTCCTATGAGTGGCCAGGCTGCTGGGGATGGTTACTTTTTTTGTTTGTTTTTATTTTAAACACCATCTCAAGATAGCTTTCCAGCCAAGGTTAAAGAGCTTCTCCGTGCCCATTGAGTAAAGACACTTGACTTTGTGAAAGGACAACCATTGATGGCTTCCAAACAATTTCATCTGCTCAGTTTCACTGACAAGGTTTTGATCAATCTATGGTGTGATTTTCAGGCATTTCCCAATGGTGTCACATGCTGGGATCATCTCCCCAGCCCAATATTATTAAGAACCCCCCTCTTTGATAAACTGACCATGATGAGATTTGAACCTGGGTCTCATGTTTGGAATGCTGACATTCTAACAACTTGACCATGCCTATAACATGATTAAATTCTTTTTTTATTTTGGACAGACATTGATTACAAGAACAAAAACTTGATGTTGTATGGTAATTATCTAATTGAATTGAAAGGAATTGTAAAAAGCTAAGTTCCACAATGTGTATTCTTCAACAATATAAGTTTATCTCTCAATATAGTTCTGGAACTATTTTACAGAACATGTTTACATAATTGATTATCTTTTTATGGCTTATCAACCCTTTGCAGGTTATTTAAAGGAAGAAAATATTTTTAGATTGCAAGAATTTTTTGGAGATAATAATTACTTACTGATACAAATCCTACTCTTTAACCCATAGCTGGTGGGAAAGAGGTGGATTCATATTTTCCCAAGAGTATTTGCACATAAGTAAAGATAATAAACTCTGCTAGAATTGGAACTCGGCTCTCTGATTTCCAATTCTGAGCTGTTATCCAATTACACCACCCACACATTAAAGCTTACAGCATCTGATATTCCCAAGTGGTCACTTATCTAGGTACTGATCAGACTCAACATTGCTTAATTTTGGTGATCATACAAGAACCAATGTTTTAACATGACATGGATGTAATCTATATTTACTACAAACAAATTATATTGCTTCAACAACATGAAGAGAGTTTGTAAATCATTTTATACTATTATGAAGATCTTATGAGAAATCAGCTTTGAAATATGTTTGACCCAATTTAAAACTTCAACATAATTTAAAATCATTAGATCACTCACTCATTAACTGATTTATCGTCATCTTTCCCTGATATAAAGTTTCGGAAGACTACTCTTATACACATTTACAGACTGCTCTATCTTGAACCATATCTTCTTTCAACTTCAATTGCAAGTAAATGGCTAAACTTTGATAACATTTATGTATCAGTAAATTTTCTATTGCACCATGACACCATAGAAGCAAAATGCCACTCAAAGAACTTTGCTTACATTCATAAATTCTAATTAATAATATGATTTATCTTGTTCAGTATTATTAAGATTTGATGAGATATTATTTTGTCAGATATAAAACTTTCACACTCACCTGACACCTTATGTAAGTAGACATGAAGCAAAATAAAGACCTGTCAGCTATGTAATTTTCTGTATGGTTGCTAACATTTCACAGGTTCACTGACTTTGATTATATATAACACCACAAATATTATTAGGTTTTGTTGAGTACTATAGGTGAGCCACTTGAAACAATAATCATAATGTTATGAGTATGACTAAGTTTTTTCAGATAATCATTAGATGAATCACTCACTCACTAGTATATCATCTTCTTTGCTTGACACAAGGGCAGAACATTTTGTAAGCTAGGATTCACTGTTCTTCTCTAGATGACTTTATCTAGATTTATGAAAGTATAAGAATGGCAGTTGATAAGAAGTTTATGTAAAATCTAAAATTAATTTTTACTTTGGTATTTGTAATTCTTTATATTTATTTGAATCATTAAATCAGAATGAATTGCAGCCACCATTTTAGTTTGTTTTTATTTATTTTTTTATAAACTGATGAAGTCTTGACATGCTGGATAAATATACAAAACTTACAGCCAATGTTCTACACATAGTTTCACTCACTCACTAGTCTATTGCCATCTGTTGGAGTTAACTCCTCCTTAATTCCCTAATTGTTCACTAGAGGATGCTCTCCCCACACTATAAATACTGGGCAACTTCTTGCCTCATTCTCTTTTCTACTTTGCATTTCAGTGGACACATTTAAAAATGTAATCGCTCACGGAGATCAGCATTTTTTGCCTATTTGTGGGAAAACACCATGAAACACACATACATGTATGTACAAACTTTCACCAACATACAAACTCTTTACATTCACACACAAACACAAATGTTAATGTCTATGTCACTTGTAAATTTGCTGTTTAATATATCGGTCTTGTTTGTTTTCTTTACATCTTCGGTTGGATTCAACTTGAGTTCGCCATTGTTCTTGTAGTTGGGCCTTCTAGCAGGAATAAACAGCACGTGTCCCTAATTCAACAACATATAAACCCACACGGTCCTTTACACATCTTTTCCTTCACAAGGGTTGAACAATTTGGAAGCCGGCTTCACTGTGATTCACTCTAAAAATCTATGAAAGTATAAGAATGGCAGTTGATAAGAATTTTATGTCAAATTTAAAATTAATTTTTACTTTGGTATTTGTAATTCTTTGTATTTATTTGTGTTGGTTCCAATCTGTGGTGGGAGTGACTGCAAAACACTTGCCTCCTTCCCCCCAATTTATAGGCAGAAGTATACAAATGCATGTTGGGATATTTTCCTAGCCAATAAAACAGGCCTGTTCTCAGTTTTATCTGACTTAGTCCTGGTCTGTCTTGTCTTGAAATCAGAACGCTACGTTCGCTTGTCTAGACTTACTTTTGTGTATCAATACCAATTCTTAGTTTATGAACTTTTTTCCATATTACTGTTACTTTGCCTTGCATATATTGTTTGCTTGCTTTATAATATTTTTGCCCTGTTCTTTTCTTTTCTTGTTATTGCAAACTTTGTCAGTTCTGTTTATCAAATAGTTTTGTTACTTATTTTGCAATTGACCATTCACTCCATAATTTGAATCATTAATCAGAATTTTGGCTCATTTTTATTTATTTTTTTTATAAACTGTTTGATAAAATCTTGATATGCAAAATTTACAGCCAAGCTAATGACAATGTTTTACATATAGTGTCATTCACTCACTGGTCTATTGTCATCTTTTGTTTGTTACAAGGTTTTAATGTTTCAGAAGCCACCTTCACTGTACTTCTCCAGATTATTTTATCTCAAGCCATGTCTTCATTCAATTTGTTGAGGTTAATGTTGAGAGGTACTCTTCAAGATTTTTTTGAGAATCTTTTGCCATAATATCCCTCAGTCCTCAATTGAAGACATGGCTTCAACCATGAGTAGATGACAGTTAAATTTCTTGAAACATGAAATCATATTTTATCAAACAAAAGGTTACAAAAGTTTGACTTTAGCAAATTCTGAGAAGTTGGGAAACCATTGATAAAAATTTGACTTTGTCAATTCACTAAAACAATTTTACTTTATTAAATCCCTAATGAAAATTTGGTTTTGTCAAATTCATGCTATAAGTTTGACATTGTAAATAACAAATTGACTTTGTAAAATCCCTAATAAAATTTTAACTTTGTTAAATCCTTATAAACGTGTGATGCTGTTAAATCTAATAAAAGTTTTCCTCAACCTTTTTAAGCAAACAGCACACCTCGGAGCAAATGAAAATATCATGGCAGACTTAGCAAAATTTTTAAAGGGTATACATTTAAATGTTATGAAATAAAAATCATAGATTTTTTTAAAAATACACACACAAATATGAACTTTATTTCAATGTTTCTATTTAAATATTTGTCCAGCTTATTTAGTGTGAAACCTGTGTCTGGTGTTTTTTTGCAATCTCTTCAGTGTTTGATTGAATGTGCGATTTATTCAAATACTAATGTTGTATCATTACTATTCTCCACCACACACACATGTATGTATGCTGTGACAATATTCCATGGCACACTTAAGCGGATCCAGTGGTAGGATGGTTAAGAATCACTGATCTAACAATTGGAATTCTGCAAGTGATGTGGTGCCATTTCCTTCTGCAGCAGATTGTGAACTCTTTTTTTAAGAAGTTTAGTCATTGGGCATCTTTCAAGCCAATATGTCTCTGTAAATGGCCAAGCTGATGGTGGATGGGTATTTTTTTTTTTTTTTTTTATCTGGATAGGCTGCCAATTTCTGACTTCATGTTCGGACAACTATTAATGGCTTCCATACAGTTTCATCAACCTTTTTCCCTCACATGGCCTGGGCTAAATCTGTCACCCCAGCAGCTTACAAGCACATGGTACCATTTTTACCTTTCAGAATAATATCTTTCCCAAATACAGAAAGAAACTCAGACTGGTAATCCTCAATTTGGGAAAACCCAAAACTAGCTGTTTCCCTTTTGTGGAATATGTCTTTGGCTGGGACATAGATCAATCCGGCCATTCTTTTTCCTTTCAGCTTTTCCATTCCATCCATGAACTTCTTTCTTTCTATGTGCTATGTCCTTTCAGGATGTAGGTAGTCATGGCTCTACACCACCTCCCTCTATCCCTTGAAGATCTCAACAAGTTCCTTCCCTCTGCTACCTCCCCCAGACCACGTTCTGTCATCCACTTGCTTAATTCTGCCAGGTATGTCACACGTTGTTTTCCCTTGTCTCTTTCCCTCTATTCAACCTGTGAGTATCAAATTCTCCACGTCCTCCTTTTTCATTATATGTCCCAGGAACTTCAGGTGCCTCTTCCTGATGTTGAGTATAAGCCTCCTCCTTGTTTGCATCCTCTCTAAGACCTCATCGTTGCTCACATGCTCGGTCCATGATATCCTTAGCATCTTTCTGTAGATCCACATCTCTGTCTCCTCAAGTCTCTTCTTCATCTTTGAGAAAATCGTCCAACATCCATGAACGACAGTGTTATTATATCATGAATATGATAATGCCCATAACAACAGGGGAAATACAAATGGGAGAATAAACCTTTCTACCATGGCTCCCTCCTCTTACAGTAAGATTGGAGATTTTACTTATCAATCAACCCATATAAGTTTAAAGATAAATTAATTTACTTCATTTTCATACTGGTTTCCTTTTTCTATCTGATCAAAACCTTGTCTTATACAACTGAACACTTTACTTATCAAACCTCATTATTTTGAAGAGGAATAAATTTAGTTCATTATTCTATCTGGTCTAAAAGTTTTTTTTTAATAAGTTTAGAGACCTTGTTTATTAATCAACCCTCATATTTTATAGAGGAAATATGGATTCTTAGAAATGTTCAAGTGAATTTTTTTAATTTTTATTCTCTCCAAAGGAAACTGACTTAGAAGTCTTGACACATGAACTGCATGATCTACGCAAAAGAGAAATCCTTCACCGTCGTTGGACAAAGGATGTCTATGACCCCCTAAAAAAGAATTTAGGTGGAGCAGTTGATGAACTCCATTGGACATCTGTTGAAGCCATGAGACATCAGATGCATAAACTCTATCTGCAGTATGTCAACACAAAGGTAAATACTTCAGCACAGAGCATCCATAGAAAATTAGTCATCTTTTGTGTGTAAAGGTTTGCTTTTTATATAAAGTTAGATAAGAGACCATTTTTATTTGAATCATGTAAATTTAAGAAAAAAAATAATATATGGTCCATGGCATTTGATACTACAAGCTTACTCATTTTGCAACTAAGAGCCAGAACTGGAGGCCTGTTTCATAAATTTTGGGAAAAAATTTTAAAAGAAATTATTTTTTCAGTAATTTTGTAGCATAAAAATATTATAGCCCAATCTACTTTCTAAAATCTAACCAAATAAAAAAAAAAACGTTTTTTATTAATTTTTTTTCTCAGTGGACAGAGGTTTCTTGGTTAGGTTGAGAATTTTTCAGCATCTCGTATTGAATTTATCTTATCTCAATATATAGTTAATATAAATGAGCATTAGCATATTTTACAAATATAAAAAAAAACAGCTGTCATCTGTGCAGTCAGGCTTTTAAAATGTTAGCAAAAAAGAAACTATATGATTGTTGATGTAATTTCACTAATAAAGTAGATTTTCCCAAGACCATATCATGTCTGATTCTATCACTGGTATTCACTAACTACATGATAGAACTTTAGTTGGAAATGAATAAAAGTTTACCACAATGGCATATGATAGAAATATTTAGGATATATCCTTTTTCAAGTTCATTTTTTATGGAGAGAGCTGAACATTCAAGTGGAAAAATACATTTTTTAAAAATTAATAGCAAGATTGATACTTGCATATTTATAAAGATTTCTAAATTTTTTATTCACACATCAATAAAATTTTTTGTCTCCTACACTCAGCATTAATAGATGTACACAAGACGCAGTCTCTCTCTTGATTCGCAGACTGACTTTAGTAGATATCTGGTGAGAAAAATCATTTATTTTGAATGAATTCTGAATTTGTCTATATTTCTGAGATGAGATATTATGTACACTATTTACATTATTCGGATTATTGTCCTCATCTTTGTCGCCATATTTATTACAACGTTTTGGCCTTTGTACGCTTCGGTCTTCTTCAGTATCTCTCTATATTTCTGAGATGAGGTATTATGTACACTATTTACATTATTCGGACTATTGTCCTCATTTTTGTTGCCATATTTATTATGTTTTGGCCATTGTATGCTCCAGCCTTCTTCAAGTGGTTGAAATGTCAAACTGAACCCTTTATTTCGCTCACTGGGGTAGACTGTTCTAGTTCCACGTGCCATGTTTAATGGATGTCAGTTGCCTTGAGGACACATGGCACAGTGGATAAAGGCATTACTTAGATCCAGTGACAGGACCCAAAGAGTGTGAGTTCAATACCCGGTGAACTTGGAGAGGGGAATTAACAGGAGATAACTGACATCAATTAAACATGGTACGTGGAACTAGAACAGTCTAACCCAGTGAGCAAAATAAAGGGTTCAGTTCGACATTCCAACCACCTGAAGAAGGCCGGAGACGTAATAAATATGGCGACAAAGATGAAGTCAGTAGTCCGAATAATGTGAATTCTGAATTATGCTCATCTACAAAATTCTAGTCATCCATATCATCATCTTCATTGACACAATTTTCATTTTAATTTAAAAGTTATCCAAAAATTTTACGTTTCAGGGCCATGCATTTCTTGATATCTTAAACCCAAAAGAATATCCCAAATACACTTTTTCTTATGGCGTACCGTCCAAGGTAGGTAATGCTATTTTCTTTCATCTATGAAGCAAACAAAGACATAGAGCACCAAGAACACTAAATATATATTTACTTAGGTATAGTGATACTTTTGTAATTAAAAGTTATTAGTGTAATTATTGTATAAAATTATTGTATAAAATATTTATATATATATATATATATATATATATATATATATGTGTGTGTGTGTGTAGAAATGAACTAAATAAAGAGATATGATCAAACATATATGTGAGCAATTATATACACATACAGGTGAGTAAATAACTATTTAATCAATGGTGTAGACAAAACAGTGCTCAATGTAGTTAAACAGAGCTATAAAGTATATATTAATAATTACACATATTTTGGTTCTGCTGCTAACCACTGGAAAACCCAGTATTACTATCATAAAAATGACATCTACAAATAAACAATATTCAAATACCACAGCACTATCTAAATTTTTCTGGGAAATTATGATAGATAACTACACACCCATAGTCAATTGGGATCTTATCATTAAAACCAAACCTTTTACCCTCAACAAAGAAAAATGTACTCTGTGCCTCATAGAAAAAACAAACTATTCTCAAATACATCATAATCTGTTGAACAAGCATAGTGATCTTATGTCCACATGCATTCACAGGAGGAGCTTTTTTCTTAAATATTTCAATGCTGGTTAAAGCCATTAACCTAACACCTGCTTTAATATCCCCACTGATCTGTCTCTAGTATTATTTTTTTTCATATTTACTTACCTCCCTTCCACCATCCTAGCACTTGAGTATTGAACAGTTCATAACTTTTTGTACCTGATGAATGGGTAAACCATAAAACTCTGAGTTGTACTGTAAATGTAGGTATATGTGTAATTATATATCTCCAGGTATAAGATAAGAACAAATCGAGTATAATTCCACTGTCCATAGCGTTTAAGTTTAAAAAAAAAAAAAACAGGGCCCAATACAAAATAGAGCTTAATATTATTTATTATAGGCGATTAAAACAAAAACATTAAAAAATTGCTACACAATAGCTTTCATGTTTCAATACTAAGCTGTATCTCTTCTTTGAAATAAATAACCCAATAAAAGTGGGATACAGGTTCAATCCCTGCCAGAGGACATATTTTCTTCACTAAGATTTCTTGAATGCAGGGTGATAGATATAGTATACACTGTTTAATAAATAGAAATAGAGTATTTACTTCAAATAGGAAGTGTCCACTTTCAAACAGGTTTGGTTAAATAATTTAGACATATAATGTCAATTAGTTTTCATTATGAACCTTTCAAGTTCACGGATTAATTTTTTATTAGACTTTTTGAGTAAGAAAAATACTAAAATTTTCTTTCAAATAGTCTTTATTTTCATCAAGTACTTTCAATCTCATCTGAGACCATTTCAGGTGGTTGTCTGTAAATATGTATATGTGTTTATGAATTTAAAGCATTTCAACTGTTCATTTTTTTTTTTTTTTTATACTGCTGATGCAGCTTTTTAGATTTCAAAGTTTAAATGTTCTTTTGGGTTTTTCCAATACAAGGGAAGTAACTTTTTTGTTTTGCTCATAGAGGTATATATATATATATATATATATATATATATATATATATATATATAGTGTAACCCGGATATAAGAGAGATTTTCTCTGGTCCCAAATTAGAGCCTGTGTTAATGTATATAAAATAGACCAAACCCGGATATAAGAGACTTCTCCGCTCCCGACAACACTCTTATATACGGGTTACACTATATATATATATATATATATATATATATATATATATATATATTTCATAAGCATCTTAGGACTTTGTTGCTATACTCATAGTTGATTTTATTTATTTTGGGCTTTAACTCTCTTTTATAAAGGGTTTCAAGGATTTTTAGTTTTTACTTGTTATTGCTTTTATGTAACATAGATGTATTTTCAACTAATATCTGTCTAATCTGTGAATGTGGGCATGAGTGTTCCTTTAAGTGCTTATATATTGGGCTATGGTCAGCCAAATGAATTGTAAGTCTTTTTGTTAACATCATTGTTGTAAAGTCGACATACGTGTTAACATTTTTATCAGAGATACAATCTCCTAAAGGACATTTAAATTGATATACAATATTGGCCTTTTGCAAGATACTAGTCGGCGGAGAAGAGTTGTTTTGGACAACTAGGTTGGTTGTATTAAATTTAGTATAGTATATGATTAATTTTATTTTTTAATTAGATCAGTGGGAGATATATTAGTATTTATAAGTTTTTTTTAGAATTTTTTCCTCTTGTTTATAGTTGGAATGCATTTGATTACGATATCGTAATTTGATATGTTTAGAGTTATTTTATGATGTATTGTTTTCATTTTTATTTATGTTTATATTTCTAATAGCTCATCTAATTTGTTCATCAACAATGTAATTAGGGAAGTCATTATTAATGAGGGTTTGTTTAATATTTTTTAATTCAGTGTAGAAAATCATTTTTGTTGAAGAATTTGATTTTGCATGGTTTATTAAGTTTTGTATAACAGCTATTTTGTAATAGGACATTCACTTTTACAATTGAGAGTACATGTGTTTATACTAGTTGTTTTTTTATAAGGAGACGTAGTCAATGTATTATTATTCCAACTGTCTATCAATACAACAAGGAACAGGATTTTTTTATCCTTGTTAAGTTCATATGTGAACTTAAATACAGAGTTTTTTTAAAAGTTTTCTTGTAGTTCATATATTTCATCTATGTCTTTGACTAAAATGAGAATAAATATATGATAAATATATCCTGGTTTATAGCTTCCAATTATTTTTGGAAGTTTCAAGTTATCCATTTCTGCATTATTGGCTATGATAAGTTCGTTGATTTTTGATTTTAATTGGTTAATCAAATTTTTTCCAACTTTTTAAAATTTGGTATGGTCATCAAGTATTTGTTGCATTTTTGAGTAAGAGTCTGACTTATTTAATATGACAAAGATATTGCTTTATCCACTTTTTATAAATTATATTGTTATGGTTTCATATTTCTTTAGCTGTAGTTCTTTGTTGCTTTGATAGAATTCTAGACATGTTTTTTCATCTGTCATGCCCAGAAACACATATACATATTCACAGACAACTTAACCCTCTGAAGATTGTCTCAGATGAGATTGAAAGTACTTGGGAAAATAAAAACTATTCAAAAGAAAATTTTAGTATTTTTCTTAATCAATTTTCTAAATCTACCAAAAAAATTAAACCCCAAACTTGAAAGGATCATAACGAAAACTAATCGACGTCATATGTCTAAATTATTTAACCAAAACTGTTTGAATGAAAATATGCTGCCTAAATATACACAATATATATATATATATATATATATTTTAATGGACACTTCTTATTTGAAGTAGACACTCGATTTTTATTTAAAAATGTCAGATTAAAATAAATCCATTAATTCCTTTATATATATATATATATATATTCTCCAAAAAAAACAAACAACCAAGGATAATGCTTTTTAACTAAGGCCAGTAGTCTTGGAGTGTCTACTTTAAATAAGACGTGTTCATTAATATATATATATATATATATATATATATATATATATATTATATAAATTACAAGTAATAAATCTGTTGGTATATAATTCAAGTGGATCCTAGTAATATCAAATATTAAAACTGATCCACAAAAAGAGCTCAATGTATTTATTATAACAGAGCATATAAATTACACAACAAAATCCAAAATTACCTCATATGGGGCACTGGGGATCTAGATGTATTTTCAACGAGAAGTATGTTAGTCTTATTTAAACCCGGTATACAGAGTGTTCCTGTCGAAATTAGATATTTAAAATTTAACTTTGACAGCAGTTGAAAATTGATACAGAATTTATCCATTTTGATGTTTCAGTCAGATGAAATGTCCGAGTTGGTGATAAGGGGAGGATTGAAGGTATTAGCCTTAAAGGGGAGAGGTTTTATAAAATTAACCCGGATATTGACCTTATGACATTAAATTGAGGTTATATGAAGAATGAAGTGTTAAATTGAAATTAAAAGAGGGCCAAAAAGGGAGTTTTATATACAAAGTAAAATTTAGGTTCCTATTTTTAAAATAACAAATTATACTTAAAAATGAGATATATTAAAAAGATTAACAATAAATCATATTTAGATAAATTATATTAAATTTAAGTAAGAATATAATTAAAAATTTTATATTAAAAAAATAAAGTTTTATATTAAAAAAATATTTAAAAATAAAATAAATTATCCATTCATAATTTTAAATCAAGTTATATTAAAAAACCAAACCATACCAAATTATATTTAAAAAATATAGCATATATATATATATATATATATATATATATATATATATATATATATATATATATATATGTGTATGTGTGTAGTATATTTCCTCAGTTGCATACTTTGTTCATTACTTTGAGATATATATATATATATGCTAGAAAGGCACACTGGAGAAAAAGACCTCAATGCTCTATTTAATGGAAGAGTATTAATATAATTGTCTAAACTTCTGGATGAACAGTTACCGAGAACAACTAAACTAAAAGTTTTATGCATTTTCACGCCATCATCAGGCAGTTGGCAACTGTTTTTTGCAACATCTTGAGTGAGCCAAGTGGATATAAAATACCCATTTTCACAAAAAACAGCTGCTGACTACCTGGTGATTTTAGTGAAAACACATGAAATTTTTAATTGTGGTTGGTCACTTTTCACTAGAAAGTTATTTAAAAGATTATATATAATTATTTTTTAAAAATATGATTCCATCACTACATAAGAGTTGTTTCACAAACAGAAGCTAAAAACTTCAATTTAAGCAAATTTTGAAACATGAGAACTCTTATGTAGTGATGGAATCATATTTTTTAAAAATAATTATAATTTAGGCTCTACTTCTGTATTGAGCACTGTTTTTTAAAAATAAAAACAAAAATACTAAAGACATTCGGATTATTAACCTAATGGTTCTTTCCTATTTT